AAATTGGCCGCCCCAGCCATTTCCATAGTAATGAATGAACATGATTATAAAGATGCGTAAATTTCAAGATTGGTTATTCCTAAATTTTCCCTTGAGGATGAAACAAGGCTTGATACTTTAATTCAATTGAATTTTAATAATTATAACGATGCTTTCGGCTCTCGTTTTTGAAACATGAGAACTCTTATGTAGTGAAGGGATCATATTTTTTTTAAAAATAATTATAATCTGAGATTTACTTCAGTATGGAGCATTGTTTTTTTAAAAATAAAAACAAAAATACTAAAGAACCCTGGTTTATTTGCCGAACGTGTTCTTTCCTATTTTTCTACATACCTGCACACACACACACACATATATATATATATATATAAACTTAAAAGCTATTTTTATTTTTATTTATATTTTTCTCACGTGTATTGTATATATTTGTGTGTGTGTGTATGTGCGTGTGTGTGTATAATTGTGTGTACGAGAGAGAGAGAGAGAGAGAGAGAGAGAGAGAGAGAGAGAGAGAGAGAGAGAGAGAAACAAAGCAAGAAAAATAGGGAGTGAGGTAATTTTGGTACGATAATCGAGTGATATCTCGAAGGATCTGTCCAATAAATTTTAGTTTCGCGTACCAAAAGTCAATACGTTTTTTTTTTTTTAGCTTGAAAACAAAATAGTATGAAAAACTGCAAGCAAACCAAAATTGAGATGGCAAGAAATCGAAACAGACCCCAACCTCGTGAACACACGTACAGGAGACGCTTTCTCTCACCCGATTTAAAAAAAAGGAAAAGAAAAAAAGAAATATATTAAAAGGCAAATAAATAAATAAATTAAACTGATCGAATCCCGAGGAAAAAAAAATCAATTTACGTTTCACTAGAGATGCAAATTATGCGTGGGTGGCCCTGAAGCTCCGCCCAGGAACGGTCGAAAGTCACGCCTATATTTAAGTAAGTCGTCTTTTGAAAACACCACAGCCAATCAACGAACGAGTTGTTTTTTTTTTTTTTTTGTCTTTTTTTTTAAAAAGCTTCTCTTAAGCTAAGGCAATGCAAGCAATGAAAAACCGCTGAAAAACTGAACCATTCCTTACAACAACTCTGTCCGGCTACAGTTTCTGATTCTACTTCTCTTCCTCCTCGTAGCAGCACCCCAACGATAAAAATAACTATCAGTAATTGTTAACTCGCATATCTTTCATCTTAATTTCAATTGCGTTTCATCGCAGCTGCCCTCATCGTCACTCGACCGCCATTATCAAACAGAGCGAATCGCAAAAAAAAAAAAAAGAAGCTCTTAGTAAAACTTAAATTCCTATTGCTTCCATATTTAATATGGCGGACAGACCATTATTTATAATATAATATAGTATAATTTTAATATTAATATTTTATATATAATAATATATATTTATATATTAGATAATTATATGTATGTATATAATTTATAATTATATATTATAATATATATATGTGTAATTATAACATAATTTAATATAATTTATAATATTAATATTTTATATATAATATATTTATATATAATAATATATAATTTATATATATATAATATATAATTATATATAATATATATTATATATTATAATATATTATATAATTTATTATAACATAATTTAGTAGAATTTTTAATATAAATATTTTATATATAATATATTTTATATATATAATATATATTTATATATATAATATTTATAATTATATATATATGTAATTTATAATTATATATTGTAATATAATATATAATTAATTATAATATAATATAGTATAATCTATAACAATAATATTTTATATATAATACATTTTATATATATAAATATATAATTATATATTATATAATATATAATTTTATATAATATATAATTTATAATTATATTGTAAAATATTATATAATTAATTGTAATATATATAGTATAATTTATAATATTAATGTTTTATATATAATATATTTTATATATAATAATATTTAATTTATATATTACATAATATATAATTATATATAATATATAATTTATAATTATATATTGTAATATGATATATAATTAATTATAATATAATATAGTATAATCTATAACAATAATATTTTATATATACTACATTTTATGTATAATAATATATAATTTATATATTATATAATATATAATTATATATAATATATAATTTATAATTATATATCATAATATATAATTAATTATAATATAATTTAGTATAATTTATAATATTAATATTTTATATACAATATATTTTATATATAATAATATTTAATTTATATATTATAATTTTCAGTTAATTTTCAATTATCAACCGTGATTCATTTTTGACAAGGATTTCTTTCATTTTAATTTTAAATTGCCTTTTATTACCTTAGCAGTAATATTATCTTGAATTGTATTTTTTTTTTAGATGAAGCAGTGTCAATATTTGCTTAAAATTTTTTCATCTTAATTTCACTTGCTTTTTATTGCATTATCAACCATGATTCATATTTTACTAGGATTTTTTCATCTTAAATTCACTTGCTTTTTATTACATTAATACCATCAGTAATATTATCTTGAATATCATTATTATTTGATATGTCCCGGAAAGGGATCTATTTGAACAAGTAGCTAAAATGGTTTTTTGGCTACTATAACCAAGTAGAATATGGTAGCAGTAATCGACTGGTACGCGTCGTAGTCGCAGGTAAGAAGTGTAGATCAAAGAATTTTTAGTCCAATGGGTTTCGTTATAGACTTAGCTCTCAGACTAAGGCTCTTTTTTAGCTCTCCTATAATTTGCGTCGGTATTTATGACGATGACCAGCCAATAATATTTCAGTGAAGAGGAACACAGGTGTACGCATATTCCATTATATATTATATATATATATATATATATATATATATATATATATATATATGAAGAAAATATATGGAAAAAAACAAACAAAAATCCTTATATACAATTGTGTGTTTTAATGTTAATATGTCAACGTCGGACGTTTCAGTCTCATAGATCATTCTTTCAGGACATATTCATAAAACATAATTAATATAGACTCGAAATGTCCATTGTTGACAATATATTAACATTAAAACAGCATAATTGCATATTAGGATTTTGTTTGTTTTTGTTATATATTTTTCTTCATACTGTCGGATCTATATCCATATATTTGGAATGAATATATATATATATATATATATATATATATATATATATATATATAATGGATTTTATGACGGACATTTTCCAATCATATTCCAGTGAGGGGAACACAGGTGTGTGTATATTTTCATTATATCATTAGTATTAAAGTATTGTCACTATAAAAGTTATTTCGGGTGGAGACACGTTTGCATTGCTACCCCTATTTTATATTTTAGTAATCAATGAAAGGAATAACAAGCGGATTCCATTGAGAAGCCCCACTAAATCTGTTTTTTTTTTTGTATCGGGGAAACATATTTTGAGCCGAAGTGTGCCTTTACCTGCTCGGGCACTGAGACTTAACTGACGGGGTAAGTTTGGAATTACCTATTTAAATGAAGCACGTTTCTTTGTCGGGGTGTTTGCAAATCTATATGTGCTAGCTTCAGTAATGTTAACGTTTATAGCACTACTAACTTAAAAATCGCCCTACTGGGGTAATCTTTAAGCTAGCTCCTGTGGAGGGCTCTTGATTGGGCCTTCATCACAATAAGCAGGGAGGAGTAGATGTGATAGGCAACAATAAACTACAGAAGAACTCAAAATTGATCGCTGCATTTAAGTATTGCATTCATATTTAAGCCTACCTTTTAAAAGTTCAACGATAATTCTTCTACCGCCACTTAAAGACAATTTGATGTACGTAGGTCCTTACATTCCGTACAAACAATTATCTTTATTTCATGAGTGACTTTCGCTGGATTTCGCAAATAATTTCGATTATTCTCCAAATTATTTCTCAGGTACAAAAATTGTTAAAAACATTTTCATGATTGCGGGTCCTGGTGCTACCTGGAATGTTTCTAATTTGCTCACAGAGACTGCCTGGTTCCAAAACGGCATGATATGTTGGGCTACGGCCTCTAGGTGTAAAGTAAAAACACAGGCAATTTTATTTTGAAACACTATAATTTGGGAAAAAGTAATATTTTCATTTGAACATGAGCTATTGAAAAGCTAGACAGTTGTGTCCCTTTAATTGTTTTTATCGGTAGAAGCCAAGATGGCGGAATCTTAAAACAATCGCTGCATTGAAAGCATTGGAAGTTTTAGATTCCCAATCTAAAACCTCAGGATTTTCTCACGGAGCCGGCCTGGTCCCAGAATCGTATGATATCTTGGGTTACGACCTCTAGGAATAAAATTGAAAAAGTGTGACACAGTGACATACTGACATTCGCATTTATGATATAGAAGAAATAATTTCGGATACAAAAAATCCTTTAAAAAAAACCCTTGACTGTTAAAGAGAGTTCCACTTGGTGCTGTCTCTTTTGCACTGTCGCTATTAAAAGTATATACGAATACACCTGGGCCCCTAGCAAGCGTATCTTGCTAACTCCCTTACAGCTACGTAGTGAGTTCGATCCCCAAAGGGTGCTTCATATTTTCGGCCTGGTGCTACAGTTAACCTAAGAGATATTTGTGCGTATAAATTTAAGTTTTCTGTGAGTATGTGCTTCTGTACTTCTTCCAAAACTCGGGCAAAATATTTAAAAAAAAAGAAGTTCATTATGTATTTATGAGTTCGTATACTGCACAAATCATAGGACGTTAATTTTTAAAGAACGTATTACTCTTACGAATGTACGATGCAAATTTAATGTTTTAATTCGTTGACGGTAAATCAATTCCATCTCTTGTCTTGGGGATAATCGTTCATAGAAAGGGAAGAGAAGAAAATGGCGGTGATTCAAAACGAGGCTAAAAATGAAGAGGACTTAATGACATAAAGGACTTGAAGATAGTGTAAAGTATTTTTTTGTTGTTGAAATATCTACAAACAGACACCGACAAGGCTTACGGCCACATCACGTTGAAACACCGGCTTCCATACGGTCATCGAAGGTAAGCAATATCGAGACAGGTCATTACCTAGATGAGTGACAGCTTGGGAATACCAGGTGCTGTAAGCCTCGGTGAGCGTGTGGATTAATGGATAATGGCTCAGAATTGATAATCGAAGAGTCGTGTGGCAATTTCCAGCTGGGTTCGTTGTATTCACTTTTTCCTTGGGAAAGGCATGAAACCACCACTTCTAACCCCAAACTATTTGTTAATAAGACTTGTATCAGTAAAGCCGTTATTAGCTGCCAAAAATTAAAAAAAATCGGTATTAAATATTTCTAATAGTTTGATATGCCGTTAAACGAAACCAACCTACTAACCTTATTACAAGGCTCACATTTCAATTATATATATATAATGTATATATTTTTCAATTTTATATATATATATATTTCAATTTCAAAAAGGTGCATTTAATTTTCAAATTCAAATTATTATATACAAAAAAAAATACAAATTAATGATTTAATTAAAATTATCGTCGAATAATTCAAATAATATACAAAAACCCCGAACCTGTTATGAATGAAAAAAATCCTTGTTTTTTATAAATTTCTGTTGCAAACCTATATTTACCAGTAAAAAAGAATTCGCTTATCACCATATTTGTACAAGAACGCACAATTGCAAAATTTAAATCAAAACTCAGCGTTGCTATGCACGCTCCAAAAAAAACAATAACTCATTTCTAATAGCATTTTCGGATACAACAATACATATATTTTTCGATGTCCTCTTTATTACTGAGAGTAAAAAAAAAGAACAACATCTATTCCATACCTGAAGATGTCTGTAGGAACAGACGAAAGCTTGTAGTAAAAATAAGAACTAATGCAAATAGAAATTTATAAAAAACAAGGATCTTTTCATTCATAACAGGTTCGGGGTTTTTATATTATTTGAATTGTTCGCGACGATAGATTTCTCATCAATTAAATCATTAACCTTTTGTATTTGTTTTTGTATGAATAATTCATGAATATATATATATATATATATATATATATATATATATATATATATATATATATATATATATATATATATATACACTGGTTATTTTTAAATTATATATATATATATATAAATATATACAAATAAAATTTTAATTATATATAAATAATGTATATATTTTCAATTAATTATATATATATATATATATATATATATATGAAAAACATGAAAACAATAAAGAAAAACTAAAATTTTTTGAAGCTACAGTGGGTAGCAAAAAGTATTTAGCACATTGGTTTTTCTTACATATCTCAAAAAATAACAGATCAATTTCAACGAAACTTATAGGAAATATTTAAACGAACATTGTCAATCAAAACATAGAAGGAAAATTTAAAACCACTGTTTTGAGAAACATTTATTAACAATAAATAAAATAACCCATATGCAAAAGTATTTAACACCAATGCAAATATTATGCTAGAAGAGACATGTCATCATGATTCCTACCCATATTGATATGATGTGATATGTCGACCAATGACAGCACTGCACGACACTCAACTGGCTATTAGATAACAGCTCTGAGACACTGCAGCTATTCTGTTGCCACTACTGCAAGAAAATGGTGAAAACAAAAGAATTGTCGAACGACATGCGCAAGAATCACAAAGATGGTAAGGGATATAGAAAAATCGCTCAAGATTTGAATTTTCTTGTGAGTACAGTTGGTGCTGTTGTTCGAAAATGGAAAAAATTCCATACTATTGAAAACATTCAAAGGAGTGGTCGTCCCCGTATCTTAAATGAGGTTAATGAGCGATACACTTCCCGTACTGTGAAGAAAAATCCATTTTCAACTCGTCGAGAAATTCAGAATGATTTGAAAAATTCCGGAATTGAAGTTTGTAAAGATACAATGAAAAGATCACTGAATCGTGCGGGTCTCACTTCAAGATCACCGAGAAAGACTCCATTACTGAAACGCCGACATGTACAAGCCCGTTTGAATTTTGTAAAGAAATATGAAATTGAATCCAATGATTTCTGGGAGAAAGTAATTTGGTCAGACGAAACGAAAATTGAGCTTTACAGACGAAACATGCGCACTCAATGTATGGAGTAAAAAAGGAGCGGAATACAAGCCAGCAAATACCATCCCTACAGTCAAATATGGGGGTGGAAATATTATGATGTGAGGTTGTTTTTCTTCAAATGTGGAGTAGGAAAAATGAAAATCATCGAAGGAACAATGAATGCAGCAAAATACACTCAAATTTTGTCAACTCAACTCTTGAACAGTGCCACATCTTTGGGACATGGTCGTGATTTTGTATTTCAGCAAGACAATGACCTGAAGCATACTGCTAAAACAATTAAGAATTGGTTTAATAATAATGACATTAATGTCCTAGAATGGCCAAGTCAGTCACCGGATTTAAATCCAATCGAAAATTTGTGGAAACTATTGAAGTTACGAGTTCATAAAAGAAATCCATTGAATTTAAACAAATTGAAGAAAATTTCTGAAGAAGAATGGGTCAAAATACCAACAAGTACCTGCAAGAAACTAGTTGAAGACTACGGGAAACGACTGGAGGCTGTAAAGCAGAACAGAGGCTACTGTACTAAATATTAGTAAAGTGTGTTAAATGCTTTTGCATATGAGTTGTTTTATTTATTGTTAATAAATGTTTCTCAAAACAGTGGTTTTAAATTTTCCTTCTACGTTTTGATCGACAATGTTCGTTTAAATATTTCCTATAAGTTTCGTTGAAATTCATCCGTTATTTTTTGAGATATGTAAGAAAAACCAATGTATTAAATATATTTGCTACCCACTGTATGTACAGAAAACGGTTGAAAACTAACCTGAACAAAATCAACTATGAAATCTCCACAAATATTCTTAAATGCCTATAATTGGTAACAGAAGCCATTGGTTTATACCAACAGCTTCCCATACTTAATACTTCTCGAATTCACTCTCGCGTGGTCATGTGTGACGTCATGAGCTGCGGTGCGATTTTCGTTTCTAGCGTCTTATATGCACGTGTTTAACATTGTTTGGAAATCATCCATGTAAACAGAAACAGACTATCATCACATTTTAGTCCTTGTATTGCTTAATATATTGTACAGTAATTGTAATCTTTGATAATGGCTTATGTAAGCCAGAAAAGATTAGAAAAAATTGGATTAAAAATTGTGGATCAATCTTCGATTATTTTTATTAAACTTCAGACGTTATATTTATTAGACAACACTTGTCTATACGTTTAATAAATTATATATATACGTTAAGAAAACGAAAAACTATTTATAAAATAAATTTTATTTATAGGCCGAACGTTGTTATTTATAGATTACGATTTAAGCAAATGCCTTATGAAATATATAAACAGATATTTGCTTAAATATATATCTATAAAATAACAACGTTATAAATAAATATATATATATATATATATATATATATATATATATATATATATATAATTGGAAAGTATCGTTAATATCGTTTTTTTGTTTGTTTCGTTATCAAACTATATGAATTATTTAATAACGATTTTTATTTTTGGCTCATAATAATGGTTTATATATATATATATATATATATATATATATATATATATATATATATATATGCATATATATGTATATGTATATCTATCTATCTATCTATATATATATATATATATATATATATATATATATACCGTGAACATTGAAGTCGACACTCAGGGCGACAGGCTGTTTCCTGCTAGACGCCATTGGCGGCCTGACGATTGCGTCCAGCATGAAACAGCCTGTCGCCCTGAGTGTTGACTTCAATGTTCACTTTTTATATTTATATTTACATACGCTCTATCTCTGATATTGAGCACTTTTATCCCATAAATACAACACACTTAAAATTATATTTCTTCATATATGTATATATATATATATATATATCTCTGTGTGTGTGTGTATATATATATATATATATATATATATATATATATATATATATATATATATATATATATTAGAGTGTGCAGCTTATATTTTATATCATAAAGAAACAATTATCTGGCAAATGTTAATGTGATTAATCGTGAAATCACTTCGTTAACAGACACTAACTTGCTATCAATTTCTTGAATTAGAAGATCCTTATATTCGAGTTGTTGTCAGATGAAAGATACATGCCAAGTACTTTCGACAATTTCAAATTGTCATCTTCAGAGCGCAATTTTCCCATGTTTAAGCAAACACGAAGACGAAATATGTGTAGACCGAAAGATGTTTTTTTTTTTTAAATTTATGCCATTTATTGACATTTGAATATATGTCTTGGTTAGTGCGATGTCGCGACGCGAGAGTTCTTGTTCAAATTGATCAAGTGAGAAGTTTGTTTGAATTTTGAAAAGACATTTTTACTCCAGTAATTGGATTACACACTAAGTCCATTCAACTTTAACAGATAAACACATATAACAAGAAAATATCGTGGATTTATAACTTTTCAATTTAAAATTCTCTGTGTTGAAGTCTTTCATTGCTGAACTAAAACGATCAGCGATCATCGGCCGAGATGAGATCCTTCACAGCTGTTAACATGCAACAGTAGCGCGCAGAAGGACACAGAGGATATGCGACGGCCCCGGGAATCCATATTGGGGGTGGAGGGTATCCAATCAAAGAGCGAAATAAAAATTTAGGTTTTGAAATTTGAAATTGTCTCTGTTAACTTCATTTTACAAGCGCCTTACAGCCTCTTAAGCAGGCGTGAATATGGATTGGTGTTTTGATAAGTGAGACCGGAGTATGCACTCCTACCACGAGTCTTAAGGATGTGAATCGAGTGTGAAATCAGAAGGTTTTAGTTGCTAGCGTGATGAGTTTGAAAGCATGTTCTTCACACGAATCACAACAAATAAAAGCATAGACGTATAAGTCGAATAAAACTCAATGCAAAACGAACAAGAAACAACGGTAGATGTGCATTCAACTAGAAAATATCGAACATTTATATACAATTTTTACAAATAGAGAAAAGGGTGTGTATTGATGTCATGCAAGTTGACGAAGTTTGCATCAAGGATATTAAATGAATTAAAGTTCAGC